TGTTAGTATTGTTTTCGCATTTTCTTTCAAAAATATACAGATGACTAAAATCTAGATAAGGGTCTTAAAATGAGTTTTAATAAAGTCACAATTTTGGATTCATAGCGATCTGTTTTGTCACTCTGGCTTTATCTAGATACGCGTGTCTCTCTAACCGGTGTTGTCCGACTTCTAACAAATTTCGATGCTGAAATTCAAAATTTCTGCTGAAATCCTAACATGGATGTGTAACGACGTTGGCCAAGAGCCGTATGAGCACTGCTGTTATTTCCCTTTACATGCATTCTGTAATATGAGAAGCAAACTTTAATATCCGTCAATGAAAACTAAATGATATATCGCATCTTATGGCTTAGTCAGTCACTGGCAGAACTAATAATTTCTCTGATGTTTTCATTTCTGACCACTCATTATTAACAGTAATTAATGCAGTGTTCATCGGCATAAATGCCATCATCAATCGTTATTTATGTTGTTGTTGTTGCCTTGAGCTTAACGCCATTTTCTAGCACACGATAGGCTATACATGGCGGCCAGTATTAATGGTGGAGGAAGAAACCTGGAAATCCGCGAAAAGAACCACCGACCCACGAGAAGCTACTGGCAAGCTTTCTCACATATCCACATTCGCCGAATCTTAGACTCGAACCCACGCAGACAGAGGTGAGATGGCAGTGATCAGTAACGGAGAGCGCTTTGGACCACTCGGCCACTTGGGGTTCCTATTTATACATATGACTGTAAATTATTACTGTTAAAAGAAAAGTATTCAAGTTCAAAACTATTATTTATATGCAATAGAAGAAAAGAACGCTACTGCATTGAAATTAAACAAATGAAGCACGTATTTTTTTTCCTCTTTTATCTTCAGCCAGTTTATAAAAAACAACAGAAACAGACAATAACTCGAAAGCTCCGTCATACAACACCATTGTGAAGAAGGTCTACACCGGTTATTCTGTTTAAGTTTCAGGATGCGTCCAAATAATTTATCTTGATTACCTCGACTCAAAAGTAAACAAGTATTTAATTTATTCTGCCTTTTCGGTTTTTTTTTCTTCTATACTTTAGACACCACATTAGGAAAATACCCCTCCTCCATCTTTTTATGCAAACAACAGCGACTAGAAATAAAGAAATATACGCTGAAGCAAGAATGTAATCCTAGTTCCAACTAAGAACAACATATCTTCTGCAGTTGAATGTTGATGTTCCAGTTAAACGGAATAGTTTAAAAGACGAACTACGCATGTGTACTACATAATTCACTGTAATATACATGAGGGCTCTAAAGCGTTATATGATGCTTGGGGTTGGTGGTTTTTCATGTCATATAGTTAACTTATTGTTTATGTAGATGATTATATACTGATGAAAGAGCGAATCTGAACATTGCAGTGTGATTGGAAATGTAGAGATTGACTTACCCCAAATTCAGTATGCAGTTGTACATGTTATCTGTCAAGTGTGGTGCCGGTATTCAGTATGCAGTAGTACATGTTTTGTGTCAAGTGTGGTTGACGGTATTCAGTATGCAGTTGTACATGTTATGTGTCAAGTGTGGTGCCGGTATTCAGTATGCAGTTGTACATGTTATCTGTCAAGTGTGTTTGCCGGTATTCATCATGCAGTTGTACATGTGTCAGGTGTGGTGCCGGTATTCAGTATGCAGTTGTATATGTAATGTGTCAAGTGTGGTGCCTGTATTCAGTATGCAGTTGTACATGTGTCAGGTGTGGTGCCGGTATTCAGAATGCAGTTGTAAATGTTATGTGTCAAGTGTGATTGCGGTCATAATATAACAACTGCAATGTCATCAAGTTCGATCTTGCACATCAATAACTACTCATAAAATCTTCAAGAACTTACTTCATATGAATTTATCACACTCAAAAATACGTTCATCACAACTAAATTCCCATCCAAATCAGCATTTGAACAGCACTAAGATTGTTGATGAATAGTGCAGGTCTAATTATTTTCTTTATTTTTATAAAGATCGGCTTGTAAAAGGAGGAAGGGTCACATGTAGTCAACCATCTTTTTTGTCATGCTTGTTTTCAATTTTGGACGTTACATTTCTTTTTATATTTTTTCACTTATATTAGTCGCACTTGAATAAGGTCGTGTTAGTATTGTTTTCGCATTTACTTCCAAAAATATACAGATGACTGGAATCTAGATACGGGTCTTAAAATGAGTTCTAATAAAGTCAGAACTTTGGCTTCATAGCGATCTGTTTTGTCTCTCTGGCTTTATCTAGATATGCGTGTCTCTTTAACCGGTGTAGTCCGACTTCTAAATAATTTCAAAAATTCTGCTGAAATCCTAACATGGATGTGTAACGACGTTGGCCAAGAGCCGTATGAGCGCTGCGGTTATTTCCCTTTACATGCATTCTGTAATATGAGAAGCAAACTTTAATATCCGTCAATGAAAACTAAATGATATATCGCATCTTATGGCTTAGTCAGTCACTGGCAGAACTAATAATTTCTCTAATGTTTTCATTTCTGACCACTCATTATTAACAGTAATTAAAGCAGTGTTCATCGGCATAAATGCCATCATCAATCGTTATTTATGTTGTTGTTGTCTTGAGCTTAACGCCATTTTATAGCACACGATAGGCTATACATGGCGGCCAGTATTAATGGTGGAGGAAGAAACCTGGAAATCCGCGAGAAAAAAAAAAAAAAACACCGACCCACGAGAAGCTACTGGCAAGCTTTCTCACATATCCACATTCGCCGAATCTTAGACTCGAACCCACGCAGACAGAGGTGAAATGGCAGTGATCAGTAACGGAGAGCACTTTGGACCACTCGGCCACTTGGGGCCCCTATTTATACACATGACTGTAAATTATTACTGTTAAAAGAAAAGTATTCAAGTTCAAAACTATTATTGATATGCAATAGAAGAAAAGAACGCTACTGCATTGAAATTAAACAAATGAAGCACGTATTTTTTTCCTCTTTTATCTTCAGCCAGTTTAAAAAAAAAAAAAAACAGAAACAGACAATAACTCGAAAGCTCAGTCAAAAAAAAACTTAAATGCGGAAAAACTAAGAAGGAAGCTATAGTAAATCAAGTTGTTGCTCCACATACGATTACGACAATCATCGAAACTTTTAGGAACATCTCTTCTCAAGATCTGCGAGTTTTATTTTTGTATAAGCGCACATAACGCAAATGTGGAAAGAGTTTTTTTCACTGATTAATATTCAGTGGAGCAAAGAGAGGAATAGACTAAGTGTGCAGTCAGTTAATTCTTTTATTCTTACTCAATACAACTTCAAAAACATGACATGTGAAGATTTTTATAATTATTTGTTAAAAAACCAAGAACTTCTTTCCAAAATTGGCAGCTCAGCTAAATATGATTAAAATAAAGTAAAATAATATAAAAAAATTCATTTAATTTCTGAATGTCCTCCTTTTTTTATACAGAAAATCCTCCTTTTTAGACCCATCTGCCCTCCATTATCAAATTATCATCTGGCAACCCTATCCGTAACGGAGAGCGCTTTAGACCACTCGGCCACTCAGGGCCACTATTTATGCATATGACTGTAAATTATTGCTGTTAAAAGAAAACAAGTATTCAAGTTCAAAACTATTATTAATATGCAATAGAAGAAAAGAACGCTACTGCATTGAAATTAAACAAATGAAGCACGTATTTTTTCCTCTTTTATCTTCAGCCAGTTTAAAAAAAGAAAAACAGAAACAGACAATAACTCGAAAGCTCCGTCATACAACACCATTGTGAAGAAGGTCTACACCGGTTATTCTGTTTAAGTTTCAGGATGCGTCCAAATAATTTATCTTGATTACCTCGACTCAAAAGTAAACAAGTTTTTCATGTCATATAGTTAACCTACATGTCATGTGTCAAGTGTGGTTGCCGGTCATAATATAACAACTGCAATGTCATCAAGTTCGATCTTGCACATCGATAACTACTCATAAAATCTTCAAGAACTTACTTCATATGAATTTATCACACTCAATAATACGTTCATCACAACTAAATTCTCAACCAAATCAGCATTTGAACAGCACTAAGTTTGATGACTTCATCAGCTGACACTACAAAATAGGTCTGCAGCTAGGATGGCCAACAATAGATCACATTAACGGCTCTACACACACTTAGTGAAATATCACATTTTTTTTTTAAATTTCACTTATTCCTTTTAAATGTTAGCCTTCTACTACACATATATGAGCATATTTTGAACTTTAAATATTGCATTCTTCCTTCATTTTATGCTAGTCAATGTATTTTTAACGTTGCCAGCGTTCACATGTCCCTGCATACTGTCACCCAAGTCTAGCAACCTTTGTTAATACTTAAAAGGCTTTGATGTTTGACGGACAAGACATATTACAAACTACAAAATGTATTTGCTACTAATTGAGTGTAAGCAGACAGGTGATGCTAATTAAACTGTATGATGACTAATTGTTTATGCCACTGATTATAGAGTATCCGTTCGGCACAATCCAATATATTGGGCCGGACAAGTAATGACTGGTCAGAATTACGTCACACGACTATTTTCAAAAGAATATAAATAGAAGTGAAATTCAAAGTTAGGAGGATGTCTGTAAACAGTTATAGCGTCCATAGATACCAATCTCCACCAAATTATTGTCTTGAGAAAATTACTAAATAACATTAAAGAGCCAACAGATAGTTATATAAATAAGACAGGTGGTTGAAGTTTTGTTTCTTTATTATCAAATAATACACGGAAATTACGCCTGTAGTACAATGTAACTTTAATAAATTTTCAGTCATATCTTTACCATGTCTGCAGTGTGGCAGTTTATAGTGATGTATAGCACTGGGGATCATGCAGCAGACATGTAGCATGATGTCCCACCCATCACAGTATCCTGACACCAGGCCGACCAGTCCTAATAGTAACCTCTTAATGCTGACCGCCTAGCGAGACAGCTGTTAGTACCATGTTTATAAATCTTTGGTATGACTCGGCCGGTGTTCGAACCCGTGACCCCACGCATCCGAGGCGGACACTCTAATCACTAAGCCACCAGAGCAGTCTCTAAAACCAATTAATATGGGTCTAAAAATACAATATTAAATATTAAAATATCCGAAGACCGTTCTATCCTCCTTTCTCTATTCACTGTGTAAGGCAGCAGACTCATCAACCAATAAAGAAATTTAGGGATGAGCACAGAATAAATGTCATTAAAGTAAGTCTCCCCCCCATCTCCTGTATTATGCGATGATGTATCTGGACCTATGAAAATGAAAAAAAAATGTAATCTCACGAAGAAACGGAGAGAAGAAAGTTAGAAATGGAAGATGTAAATAATCGTATCTTGATAGCAATGTTAACTAAATCATAGCAATGACTTAGATGAACTGTAAATACATTAAATTAATTGGACTGTAAATTACCTCTTCCTGGTTCCTCATTTCGCTTAATTTATATTTCCAACTCTTTTCAATATGCTGGCCGGTATGTGAAAGCCAGCGCTATAAATTTTCAAGTAGTTGACAATGATGTGTTTGTAGTGCTCTACATTCTTCCTTTAAATATTATTTTTTGTTTCAAAAAATCATAAGTGTATATTTATTTATATAAGTAAATCATAAGTATATATTTATTTACTCAGTATGAATGAAAATAGAAGTAAAAAAGGAAAACTAAAAGAAAGTAACTTATCAATTTAAAAATGAGATTTCGATTATTCTCAAAATGTTAAAAACTACATTTTGTAACGTACATACTGGTCAGGACTGTGCAGAGTTCATTCATTCCAGCTGTACACAATTGCTTGTAGTCATTCTTTACTGCGTTAGAAATGCAAGTATGTGTATGTAATATAAATAAATTGTATGTTTATCATGTATTGCTGTATTTTTTATATACTGCTCATCGTATAAATTTTTCATTAATAACAAAACTCGGCAAACCTCGTTTCCTTTCAATGTACATCTCGTCGTATATCTATGTTACAGCGTACATACTATATATATATATATATATATATATATATATATATATATATATATATATATATATATATATATATATATATATATAAACACACACACACACATATATATATATATATATATATATATATATATATATATATATATATATATATATATATATACCACACATATACATATATAGTATTGATTGAACTTTGTCCTTGGAAAGTTAATCTTCCACTCTGTCCCAAACGAAATTATAACTGGGCAGCACATACTGACTGTGGTTTTTTTTCCGAGTTCGTTCATTTTCCAACGACAGAAACACCAGTTGAAAATTAAGAAATATGTTCAATTAATCAACCCTTTCTAATTTTTACATTATACGCCAAAAAAAAAATCACTGAATGTTATAGTATAAACTCATTTCAATAGAAGAGATGTTAGTAATATATGTTACCCCAGGCAGTTTTGTCAGATCGCTGAACAATTGCTTTTCAAAGCTGATTTAATGCATAATTATAGGTTTCCAGGATTTCCGTACTCTCCAGGCTAAGAACACACACACACACACACACACACACACAAACGTACAGTCGCTTATCACTAAAAATTTACCATAGTTTTTGTCTTGCACACGTTTATTTGACTAAATAGATACATAGACTTTTGCAATGGTGCCTTTTCGAAATTTTGGAACACCGGCCCCAAACATTTTACCTTATCCGGCCCGTGTGTGTGTGTGTGTGTGTGTGTGTGTGTGTGTGTGTGTGTGTGTGTGATTTGGATTCTGTTTTTGGTAGCCCATTTTACCTTGTAAAATGTGTATCTGAAAAAGTTATAATAAATGTTCATTTTTAATGTTGAAAAAATATTACTTTGAATAAGAATATTGTATATAGCAGCACCGTAATATAGTCTCTAGTGGGTATGCAAGCCTCTAATACAAAGACATTCAAATAAAACAATTAAAAACGAGTTGACTTTGTCTAATGCACAGAAAAGTGATAGATGGTAAATTATATTCGGTAAATTGTGTACGTTATCGTGGTCTTGTATATTTGCACTCATTCAAGTGTTATGTTTTAGGACAGAGGAACTGGTATAGTTGCTGACAATTTATGTATACACTTATGCTATAAGGGTAATAATAATATGGGACGACACTTCTCTCACTATTCGCTTGACCTGTTTAAGAATCAAAGCTCCAATCACAATCTATCTACATATTAATAGCATTATAAATCTGGTCCGGGTGTTTAGTTCGGGCATTCGATTTGTTATATCTACACAAATAATGTGACTTTCTATCCAAGACGGTGTCCACACGCTACCGCTCGACACGGTCATGATGATCGCGCTAGCTTTATGTTGAAGTGCATTAAGCTGAATGGAATACTATCCTCTCATTGGTCTAGCATAAATAACATCCACCACCTACTGAAAACCTGATTTTATGTGGACCAATACCGGGGCAGTATTTTGTTCAGTGCGGTATAGTTGCATATTAAGCGAGCGAGAATATATCTATACCCCTGTGGTTTAGGAGCATGCACGATCGTATCGTCCAGTGAAAAAGGATGATAATGAAACAAGTTTATCATTGCTGACATTAACACTTTAACATGCTCTTCTCAAGCAACATATATAATGTATATCTCTGCATAAGTAAACGTTTAAATATATGAGTAATAAACATTTTGGATTGCCCGTCACAGTGTTAGAACTATTGGATATTGGAAGTAAAACCGAAGTATAAAGGGACAAACTACAATTGCGGCCGACAGATGACTAGGGCCCCGCGGCAGCCCAAAAAACAAATTTTCGGTGTCGGTTGTGTTAGCAATTTAGTACTATACTAATAAATTAAATAAAATAACACACATACACATGGAAATACAATACGATATTCTATATCTGATACTCAGTGACTGAGAGGCAATTCCGGTTACTTTTAATGTTAGAGTTTGTACCTAGGGCCCCCAAACTGCTCTGACGGATAGAAAGTAGCACAAGTTTGTGAATCTACACATTTTTGCAAAAAGTGTACTGTTACACAATTCATAGTCGATAAAACTTAAACTAAATAGCATTCTTTCATATAAATTAGAAAGATTAGGAATTAGCCTCTCGTGTTTTGTATAGAGAAGTCTTTATTCAGTTCAATAACCCAAGCGGACTGGGAGGATACTTCTTTTTTTTTTTTTAATTAATTGAATTGAATGACGGATAATGCAATTACAAAAAAAGGTTTTCAGCATTTAAAGCATACAGCATATAAACAAAATGCTTGAACATTAATTTGTCAAACACCCCGTATCTCTGCAGCTGGTATTTAAACCCGAAAGAATGTTAATGATTATATTAAACCGCGTTCACCTAATTACATATATCGAAATATTTTGTAAAGTTCATTATGTATTTATTGGATCGAAAATCAACTTTCAAAAGCTGTTATTTTTCTGATAATACTGAAGATTTGAAACTGCTGCCAGGGATGCGTGTTCGATCAGAGAGTTTGCACAAAGTTTACGTTATTTAAAACGAACTCTGATACTTTGTTACGTTGTTTATTTGTAATAACGGTTAACCACATCAATATAAGATATATCGAGTGATCATACACTGAAAGTTGTCTGTCATCAGTAGCAAAATTGGTCCTTCATGCCACATGGCCAACCGTACAGGTATTTAATTAATTCTCGTTTACAAGGATAAACTCCGTGCGCCCTAAAAAAGCAGAACAAATTACGTGACGTCTGTCGGAAGTGAGCCGCCTGGTAACTAAAGCCGCTTGCTGTCAGCACCAGAACGTCACATCTCATCAGAATGCTATGTTCTGTCAACGTCACCAATAAGTCCTCACAAGAACTTGCCTCGTCCACGTGACCCACATTCCAGTATCTCGCTATGTAATTATTCCCAAATAAAGCACTAGCAATCATTTTTATTTCCGTGTTATCGGAGGCCACAAAAATCTTATATCGTTTAGTCAAGTTAAATCTACGCAATAAAGACCACACTGAGCCAAAATCGGTCGTTTCATACCTTTCATTCCCCGGATGATCAATTCTAGCGTGAAAACATGCAAGTTTATTATATCCAACATATTCTGAGACAAAATCTTTTATCTTATTTCTTAGAACGTCTGAGTATTTGAAGAGGCCAAAGTATACTATGCGAAAAATATCACTGTAGGTCTTTTTCTGGAGAGGAGATAGAACATTCCTGGCTATTCTATTCTTCTTCAGCTGGTCCGTCCAATCTTGGTTGACGTTCAGGTAGATTACATCATGTTTATACTCGATGAAATTTGTATGTTGAATCCTGCCTTGAATTTCTATATGATCATTCATGTAGTCGATTGTATGTACACTTGGGCTGGTCAATCTAGAATCCTCTATCTGCCAGTTAATCAGATTAGGCGCCAAATAATTTGACAGGCCACATGGATAAGAATGCTGTATCCCAAAAGTCCTGTTGGACAATATGGACAGAAGATATGCCGTAACCATCCCTTTAATACGGTCACCCCAACCTCCACAATGATAGCGGCAGTCATAGATGAGAAATTTCTTATCGTCTGGTGCATGTTTGAAAATTTCCTTGAAATCTGCTTCATACTGCTCGATGGCAGCATCAAACGTTATGTGATCTGGTTTGGTTTCTCCAAAGTCCACGAACTGGTGGTCATCATTCTCCTCTACTTCTAAGGTGAGGGTTTTCAGTTGTTCCCGGGTACAAACCCACGCATATGCTATGTAGATGACGTATAATGTTCCCAGACCGAATCCAGCCATACCCAAGGGTGTCATCTGACGAGTTATCTGGATAAAGAAATTGTATATATGAAACCAATAACAGCAGATACAAAGTAAATTGAATACTAGACCGGCAAGTCATTGATTTTTTCCTTCATATTCATCATAGAACTGTGGTTGGAACTTAAACTTATTCTTTTTAATCGTTGTCAAATATTGTAAAGCTCTTAGAGCTTCTAAAGATTATGCGCTATATAAGGTCATCGTTATTATTATTATTATTATTATTATTATTATTATTATTATTATTATTATTATTATTATTATTATTAT